ACTGAACGATATAATACGGGTATATACTTAGAAGATATTTCATAGAGGTGAAGCAATATTGGCATTCCTTCGATCAATTTTCAATCAAATAAACTCGGATTACTTTTGTACTAGATCCATCCAAATCATTCCCATAAATGTCAAACTAACATTTATTTATTTATATTCGCACCACCACTATATGGTACCTGCCGACTGAAATATTTCCAAAACAATTCGACAGGGTCCTTCAAGAAAAGAGCGTACCAATTCTTAAAAGGCCGTCAACGCACTCGCGAGCCTTCTGGTATTAAGTGTCCATGGGCGGCGGTATCACTTAACATCAGGAGCCATTTGCCCCCTGTTCTATGAAAAAAAGGGTGCGTGTACTTATGTACGCGCGTAAGAAGTTATACTTCTTTGGCATTATTAAAAATAGTTTTTGATTGCATGCAAATAATTAATTACAATTAAATAATCAAAGACTGGAAAAGGAGTCATTATAGTCAATAAAGTTCAGTTTACATTTGAAAAATTAAATAAATAAATATTTATTATTATTCTCTAACATTAAGTGTTACATAAATTCTATTATTATTCGAATGTTGTTTTTAAATTATGTCCAATGCCGTAGCATCTTCCGTGGGCAACTTCATTCTGTTAATTTTGTGTAACGGATTTTTCATAACGCCCCTAAAGAAGTATAACTTCAAAAATATATTATGAAAAAATATTAAAGTATTCCGCACGTCAGAAGAGCCAACGAAATTAATTGGTTTTATGTGGCGACAACAATTCTGAAACAAGCCGTTACGAACTGATTATTACGATAGCGCCATGAAACAGAAACGTCATACAAGTTTGAGTCATACATTGAAGTTGTATATTTTAATATTTGCGTTAATAATGTTTATTTTTTTCTATTATAGATACTTACTAATTTTATGTGTGATTCTTTAAAGATACGGCAAACATATTTTGAGCAGAGTTGGTGAAGCCTGTGCGCCAAATCTCCGTGCGTTCGAAGCGAATTGCACCAATGCACTTCTCTTTCTATTTGAACATTTAACCCTGGTTTATACGTAATAAGCGAGAAAACAGGCATGTCTTAACCCAAAAATGAAAGGGGTTTGATTCGCGCATAAGGCTGTTCATCTACTTGCCTATTAGAAAAAGAAAATTATTACGAAACAGATATTAAAATCTAGCAAGGTAGCGTCAATCTAAAATTTAATTTTGATGATACTTTCTGAATGTATTATAAACATATTACATTTTAAACAGGGATTCTAGCGAGATTAAAGTAACTATTTATCTTGTTTTAACCGTACTAAACATTTGAAAATCAATAAATCGCAATTATAAAAAACATAGAACCTTATCGTACATAGTTCTTAAGGAGTTAAACACTGAGTAACTGATAACTCGCGTGTGATTGCTTACTTCAACTATATTTGTTTCTATGTCATGTTTGTTCGAGACTGTTTGCTATCAATACGCCACGGGTACCTATGACATTCCTATTAGATAAAACACTCGTGTATATTTCCTGTGCTTCTGGATCGTAGTTAACTTCGCGTCGTAATATATGTTATTTCTAGGCTGTGATTGGTGTTTATGCGAAGGGCCATTGTGTGAATTCTCACGTGTCAATCTCACCCGGTAGCTTTTGTATATATTGTGCACTGTACTTTAATCGTCCGAATCCTTAATTTAAATGAAGGCAGCTACTTTTAACCGTCATACCGTCAATTAATACCTATTGATGAAAAGTAAAAGCGTTTCACATAAAGTCAGTTAGTCTTGGCTTCAGATTTCTGTGTCTGTTTCGTGATATTTTCAATAGGCAATTAGTGATCAGTTCAGACAAATAAATTTTACATTTTTCGGCACTCAGTTTTGAATTTTTTTTATATTATGTTTTAGTGATAAAAATATAATGTGTAAAAGTTGATAATACATTTTTAAAAATCCTGGTTTTCTCTCACGACTTTTTCTACCCGTACGAGTGTTAAATGCACACATAGACGTAAAGTTTGTGAAAGAATCTACTCGGCGACTTTTAAGATACTTAAGTTAAAAAAAAATAGAATTTTTTATAATTCATTTGGTAAGCCGTCGGTCCACAACATATGCTACTAATCCTATTAAATGAAGTTCCTATACCCGAAACTTAGTTTTTTTTTATTGGACAATTCACACCAATTGACCTAGTCCCATGCTAAGCTGGTGAAGCTTGTGTTATGGGTACTAGGCAACGGATATACATACATATTATAGATAGATAGACATATAAATACATATTTAAACACCCAAGACCTAAGCACAACACCAAATGCTCATCACATCGTTGTTTGTCTCAGCCGGGGATCGCATGTCCATGGATGACCCATGGATTCGCAGTCAGGGGTACTAACCACTAGACCAATGAGCCGTCGAATGAAGTTTTTTGGCTTGTTTTTATTGTATTCCCAAACCTATGTATTAGTCAATTTATCACAACGCTTTATATTTATCTGTCACATTACCGCGAATTACAGAGTAAAATTGAATTTGCTTATTATAAAATCTTACCCAGTCTTCAGTGCGTGTATCGATCTATTCCACATGAACGAACTAATGATGTTCAGGCTAGTGCATATTTTAACTATTTATCAATAAAGATGAAAGAACGTGGCGATTCTGTATATACATATATATAAACGCTTATGTGTTTGTCCTTAAGTCATCGTTATACACCGCTATGCAAGTGTACTTAAAGGGTATTTTTGGACATGGTGTGCGATTTGCTCCATTAATTTTAGATTTTATATGGTATAAAAATTAATTTCTCTCTGTTTTTGTATTGATTGTATTTTATTGTAGTTTCTAAGTAAAATTTATATTGTAGTGTGACCCTTCACACCAAGATTAAACAATTTAGAGTTTGAGGTTTTTGTACTCTTAGTTGTTTTTATGTTATGATAAAATCTACACTGTAAAAGAGAAAAGCATCGTAAAACATAAACTCAAAAAAAATAATGAATCTTCAAAAAAATGTGTTCCACTATTAAATTATATTATCACTGTAACATAGGACCTCTACGCAACATACATGTAAAAGAATATAGAAATGCATAAAACACATCTAAATCCAACGGTATGCAACTGTTACGTTGAAAACTATAATATATTTTTAATACGTAAACAATAATTTGAATTCCACTCACGCGCAATTAATTTGCATAATATCATTGTAAACAGAGCCTCAGTGCCTAACCAAACGCTTACTTTGAACGAAACACGGACCGGAGTTCGGATTTTTGGAAACTGACCCAAGATATAAATTAACCCTACATATCCTTAGTATTAAATTTTAAATCACTTTAAATAATTATTCATTGATGACAATAGCGCAAAATTGCATTATAATCATTTTAAGTATTGCCGCTAAGAATAAAATAAATTCAGTAAATAAATTTTCGGTCTAAGGCATGTCGATTTTCTCTCGAGGTTTTAATAAAACCTGCCCTTTTAATAAAAATGACCTATTTCGCACGCAATTGTTTAATTTCGCGCGCAACATATCACTTGGGAATAAACTACTTTAATAAGTGCATTTAACGCATTAGAATACCATGATAAACTCAATTCCGGCGAATATAAAAAAATTATAGATCCAAAGCGTCAACCAGATTTTAACAGAACTTTTGTTGTCTATTTTTGTTTAACTTTTCGCTCTTAAATAGTAAAATAAACTACGATAGAATTTTTTTTTATCCCTTTTTGAAAACGTATAGTCCTGCATTTTCCAATTTTTCATCGACAGTTGCGAGGGTGAGATGGCTTGTAATCGATAAGGTCGCGTGTTGCTCTCATTTTTTAATTAGTCGAGCAACAAAGTGAGTGTTTAATAAAAATACTTTATAATTGCAGCATAAATACAACGATCTGTTGCACGTGGATTCGTTATGAACGTACGTACTTGTTAAAGATGATAAACAACTCCGGGACCCGAGCGCTTCCAACTCTATAAGTATCTTATTATTATCTCGATAGACCAGAAGGTAGTGCCCGGTCTTTTGGAGGCATACGTAGACAGATCCGACACGACCAATTATTACCTACATAATTCCAAGCTTATATTCTCCATACATCATATGTAAATATGATCCAGACAGGCTTTTATAAAAAATAATGCAAAGTAGTATGTGATTTCTGTATCTGAGGATTAGTGACTAACGGCCGCTTTCTATACTCGATCTATAATCTAAAATTATTTCCAATCCAGATTATTTTATTTAAGCATCCCGGAGACTAAATTTCCAACAATGTTAATGCGGGTTAAAATTTGGACATAGAGAAATTTTGATGTTAATCTATTATCTATTATCCTAACATTGTATATATTATTAAGTATGAGAAGAAAATAAAAAGGTGGTGGAAAAAAAATATTTACCGTTCAATACAACTTTGTTGTACAAATTATATCATGTTACATAAGAATTTTCTTAATACAAAGACGTGGAAATTTGTGTCAACACTTCCTATTTACTTGGGAATGATAATAAACATCAAAACAATTTTCATATTAATTGCTCAAGCTAATAGTTCTCATTTTGCTTATCGCGATAAATGCGCAAAGTTGACATTTCAAAGTAACCTTACATTTAATGTGATAACAGAGAGTCAGCAATAGCATCACATATCATTCTATTGCTAAGGTAATGAGATTCTTAATTTATTGATAATCTTTAGCTCTGTGCACGAAATATGAACAGATGTTAATATAGCGCGACACTTGAAATTGGTTGCATTGCACAAACAAAACTGCAACACTGGTCGTACACAATGCATAAATTAAGATTGACCAGAATCGTATTACAACTTGTAAACAGTCTAAATATTATAGACACTACATTTTAAATGTCATCACAAAAATTCGCACAATTCAAAATTGAATTTTGAAATTCGAATGAAAAAATGGATTTTGAAATTCGAATGAAAAAATGAACTTTGAAATTCGAATGAAAAAAACTTACCCCCTTCCATAACACTCAGAGGGTTTCCCTGGTGGCGTGAGGAGCACGGTGAAATTTGGCGATGGATACTCCTGTGATGTAGTTGCAATTTGGTTTCCGTATGGATATTCAAAACACCCAATTTCGCGGTCAAAATGCGACCAATCCGCCATTTTAGAATGCGTTGCAAGCGTGCATCGGCGGTCGCAACGTGCGCGCACTGATGTTAGCAGCTAGACTCAGCGTTCGCTAATCCGCATTAATTTATAAACAAGTCCTTATAGTAAGTATCAATCATCTTATATCGTACGCTTGTATTATAAATATTGCATTTGCAGAAATGACTCGGTGCATTTAATTGCACGATAAATAAAATATCGATTTCCATTAAATAAAATATTAAATCAGTTAATTCGATCGGCAATACTGCCCTAGCGTCAGAGTGCGACTCTCATCCCTGAGGTCGTAGGTTCGAACGGTGGCTGTGCACCAATGGACTTTCTATCTATGCGTGCATTTAACATTCCCTCGAACGGTGGAGGAAAACATCGTTAGGAAACCGGCTTGCCTTAGACCCAAAAAGTCGACGTGTGTCAGGCACAGGAGACTGATCACCTACTTTCCTATTAGATTGATAAATGATCATGAAACAGATACTGAAATCGGAGATTTAGACCTAGAAATGTCACTTAGTTATTTTTATTTTATTTTTTAATTCAATCGGCAATGTTGCCCTAGTTGCTTGAGGCTATGTTCAGATGGCAAAAACTTGACCCGCGTTTTCAAATCGCGCGACTAGAGATTATGGTATTTTTCATACAACTGTTCACATGTACGCGCGTTAACGCGCGTCAACGCGGCGCTCAGAGAAAAAGTCTCTAGACGCAGGTGATCGCGCGTTGACGCGCGCTTTGATATTAATGTAATGTCCGTTTGCTGTTCAGATGAGCGCGCGCTTTCATCGCGATCGCATGTAATTTTATTAATTTTCGTAATTATATTTTGTTCTCGCTTTTAAAATGAGTGAAATTGAAGATATTGACATCGACTTACTAATCGATGAAGTAGAAAAAAGGTCAGCAAGTTGGAATATAGCAAATTTGTATAAAAAATATAATATAAATTGTATTTTTTTTTCAAAATTGGATAAACCCAATGTGTACGTTTTCTTTTTCTATATTTTTCTTTATAATATAACCACAAAATAATAGCCTCTTCCACGTCCATTTTCTACGTTCTACCGAACTAGACTGACGAGTACTCTCGCAACGCGCGTTAGCTCATCATCTGAACGCTCTTCAAATTTGATCGCGCGTTGACGCGCGTTAACGCGCGTTACATGTGAACATAGCCTGAGCGTGCGGCTCTCATCTGAGGTCGTAGAGTCGAACCCCGGTTGTGTCGCCAAAGAATAAAAACATGGCGAGGAAACCGGCATGCCTTAAATCCAAAAAGTGAGTGAGGCGCAAAAGACCTCGTTGTAGAGCCGCTGGTTTTTTAAAAATTTAATCGGCAGATATATCAAAAAATAAATAAATCAGTGGCGCTACAACCTTTTTAGGTCTGGGCCTCAGATTTCTGTATCTGTTTCATGATAATTTGGTAATCTAATAGGCAAATAGGTGATCCACCTTCAGTGCCTCACGCACGCCGTTGACTTTTTGGGTCTAAGGCAAGCCGGTTTCCTCACTATGTATTCCTTCACCGTTCGAGCGAATGTTAAATGCGCACATAGATAGAAAGTCCATTGGTGCACAGCCGGGGATCGAACCTACGACCTCAGGGATGAGAGACGCACGCTGAAGCCACTAGACCATGGGTTCCTAACCTGGGGGTAATTACCCCCACAGGGGTAAATCAGCTATTTCACGGGGGTAACAAAGAACCTAATTATCAGAAAGAAAAAAAAACATAAAAGTTACAGAGCGCTGCGCAGTACCGCACGTGACAAAAATGTGCTCGTTCTAGCACTCGTTCGTCGGTTCGCCATGTTGCAAGCGGGCGGTGCGGGAAGGGGCGCCCGCGCCCGCGCCGCCGCCTCCGCTTGCTTCGCGTGCCTTGTAGTGTTATAGTAGTAGTAGCAGTGTTTGAGCTTGAGTGGACGAACGCGTTTCGATTGTTTCGCATTGCATACCTACCTACGTAGGAAACAAAATACCTAATTCTAATCTGTGTTTGAAGGTAAGTACCAACAAACAATGCTATTTTTTATCAATTATATTTTATTACTATTTATCGGGCTCTAAACCACTTACTTTTGTTTTACGTTTGTGTATGTTTTGTGACAATGATGCTGGTACGTAGGTACGTACGAATGGTACGTGGTATCTTTACGTTAATGTACTTCTCTATTATCTGTAACATTTTTTATGATTGTTTTAGTTGTCATGGCTTCTACATCCGGAAAAAAGCGCTCATATAAAGAAGCATTTTTACAATGGGGTTTTACGAATATTGTGGACAGAAATATAGAAAAGCCTCAGTGTGTTTTATGTAATAAAGTGCTTAATCCAGAGAGCATGAAACCGAGTAAATTAAAAGAACATTTCGAGAGAGTTCACAAAGAGTTTGTAGGTAAAGATTTACAATTTTTTAAGAGAAAAGAGAGCGTTCTGAAATCTTCGCGAATGGATTCCACAGGAAATATGCAAAAGCCAAACGAGTCGTGTCTTGAAGCTTCATTTCGAATTTCTTATCGTATTGCTATGAACAAAAAACCGCATACTATTGGAGAGGATCTTATCAAACCTTGTTTGTGTGATGCAGTATCGCTCGTTATTGGCGAACAACATGTGGCTAAGATAAAACAAATATCACTCTCAAATACAACAGTTCAAAAACGCATTTCAGACATGAGTAACGATATTTTGGCAACCGTTATTGATGAAATTAAAGAAAGTGATATGTTTGCGCTGCAATTAGATGAGTCTACGGATGTAGCTTCGTGTTCACAATTGCTGTTATTTACTCGTTATATCAAAAATGACCATGTAAAAGAGGAATACCTGTTTTGCAAGTCTTTGCCCACCACTACGCGTGGCGAAGACGTATTTCAATCGCTAAAACAATTTATTGAAGATAACGGACTGGACTGGTCAAAGCTGGTTGGCGTTTGTACAGATGGGGCGCCTTCCATGATGGGTGTTCGTTCTGGATTTCAAGCACTTGTGAAACAAGTTGCTCCTCAAATTTTACCTTATCATTGTCTAATACACCGCTACGCTTTGGCCGTTAAGACGCTTCCACCAGATTTGCTTAGCACGTTGAATGACGTAGTGAAAATTGTAAACCATATTCGTGGCAGTGCTACAAACTCGAGGATCTTCAAAGTTTTATGCGATGAAGTTGGTGCAAAATTTAATTCTCTTTTGTACCACACAGAGGTACGTTGGTTATCTCGAGGAAAAGTTTTGAACAGGGTGTACGAGCTTCGTGAAGAAATAAGATTATTTTTGGAAAAACAGAGAACACAAAAAGAGAAAGAGTTTTTCTCAAAAATAAAAGATAAAATATTCGTTGAAATGCTGGCGTATCTTGCTGATTTTTTCAGTGAAATTAACGGTCTTAATCTCTCATTGCAAGGAAATATGACGAATATTTTAACAGCGCAGGATAAAGTTGCTAGTTTTGTGCGTAAATTGGAACTTTACCAACGCAGAGTGCAAGCAGATGATGTGTCGATGTTTACACAACTGTGTGAGCAATTGGTAAATACGGAACAAAACGAAATCACGTTTAAAAACTCTGTGATTCAACATTTATCTGCAATAATAGATTCACTGAAGCAGTATTTTCCGGACTTGGATAATCGTCAGTCGAACTCTTGGATATTAAGACCGTTTTCTACTGATGATGATATTATTCGAGACGAGGATGTGGCGGCAAAAGTGGAATTTCTTGGATTACGCGAGAATAGTTCTTTGAAAGTAGAATTTCAGAATTATGATCTCAGCACATTTTGGATCAAAACAGGTGCCGAGTATCCTATTTTATCTAACAGAGCTTTAAAAATGCTAATACCATTTGCCACCACCTACAGGTGTGAGAGTGGGTTTTCTACTTTAGTAACACTGAAAACAAAGGCCAGAAATCGTCTCAATGTGGAACATGACTTGAGATGCGCTTTAAGTGAAACTAAACCTAACATTAAAAAACTTGTTAATGCAAAACAATACCAACCTTCACACTGAGCCAACATTCACTAGTTTTTTATGTTAGGTAGGAGTAGTAGTCACTACTAGTAAATGTAACTGAGTATTATTAATCCATAGTTTATACGTATGAATACGTTAAAATTGTAAGACTGTTGTGCAATTTATGATCAATAAAGATGTTTGTATTTACTTGTATTGTTTGTTTTGATATTATTTTGAAAGCGGGGTAAAATCAGTTTTATACATAGTTCACAGGGGTAACAATATTAAAAAAGGTTGGGAACCACTGCACTAGACCAACACTGCTCTCGGCAGATAGATTAGTTCTTTTATTTCCCCATACCGTTTTTTAAAGTTATTTAATAAATAAAGATTATTTATTATTATTTATTACAAGCATTATATTTACCCCACACACCAATACATGGAACATTTTGCCATGCTACCCCATAGTGATTAAGTACTAAATAAAACTAAATTTTTCTCTCCATAAAAACATTCCCCAGAGTTCAAGGAATGAATCAAAAGAAACTTCTCGATTGGGTACAGTTCTAGATTTGAGCTTAGCAACATATTTTGATACCATCAACTCGGCAACATTTAAAAAAAAGCGCAAACTCAACCCTCAAAGGCCGCCATCGCACTTTACTTTTTTGCGCCTTTTTCGGCGTCCCGTAGAATCGTTTCCCCCAACGCTATAAGAAAAAGCAAAAAGTTTCAATACATTACCAGTACTCGTATCCAGATTTACTAATTTTAAAAGAAGACCACGCGAAATGTGTTGCGGCTGTGCTTGATTGGGATTTAGGCTCAGACCTACTAGACATAGATTACTACTTAGAATGCCAAAAGCCTTTTTTGTTGGTTTCATTGTTTGCATGTTTGACTACAGGTAACGAGGTCTCGGGGTGGGATAAGGTACTGCATTTTTGAAGTTATACTTCTTTAGGCGCGTTATGAAAAATTGATGAGAGTGAAATTTTACGATGCGCGCGCAGCGTGACACAAAATTAACAGAA